GGTAGGTCCAAAATAGGGAACCCCACAGAGCTTCCACATGCCCCAGTTTTTCTTTGCCAAATAAGTCCTTTTTTCCCATAGGTCAGATTGAAAGGCTTCATTTGTTCAGTCTTGCAGAACACTTGTGCTTCAAGAATGAAAGTCCTATAGAAGCATCACCTCTCGTAATAGATACTTTGTTGTTGTCGTCATTAATCTTACATATTCATCATCTTTAATCTTAAATAAACTGTGTTTTCTCTTTAGGCAGGCTTTTCTCAGGGACACTTTGTTCATAACAGTACTTCATTTACTGTGGATGTCCCCGGAGTACTTTCATTAAGGAATGACACAGAACTGGACAGGGAGACTACATCTGGATTTACTTTACAAGTAATTTTGGGGCAGATTTGCTCTTCTGGCCCATTTCTACTTTATTACCCCCAACTCCTTTTTTTGTATCTTCATTAGCTAGCTGAAAGGACAATACATTCAAATAACACACCATTTCCATTTCTTGCTTTGATAGGTATGGGCAGTTGATGCTGAAACAAATGGGCTTAATTCAAGCGCCTTGTTCCATATCACAGTCCTGGATGTCAATGATAACAACCCTGAGTTTCAGATGCTGCCATACAATTTTGAAGTCCTGGAAGGCGATTACTTATTGGGTGCTCCTGCTGTAGTTGGACATGCAGTTGCCGATGATTTGGATGAGGGAGAGAATGCACGAATTACATATCACTTATCAGCTGCGGATGGAGATAATCCATATGACATCCAACAGGTAATATTTTGGATATGCTGAAAATGGTATCTAGACACTGTTTTTCTCAAAGTCACTTGACAGAATTATTCTCATCCAGTAGAAAGAATAATCATAGCCATTGTAGAATACATGGAGTCAAAAACAACACTCAGACTACAGTCTGGAAATGTAGTTCCAGGTCCAAAGGCAAAGCAATATTGGTCAGACATTGCTCTGAATCCGAACTATATTTGTCCAAAAGAGAACAGAAGATTTTGATCTCTCTTTTGAGAACTCACTTGGCAAGAGTGTCATCAAAATGATCAATTCACTGATTCCTTTTTCTAGGATGGAACCATCTTGGTTAATGGCTTTGTAGACCGAGAAGCCAAAGAGAAGTATGAGCTACTGGTGGTGGTATCAGATAATGGAGTACCTCAGAGACAGGTAACAGAGACTGTCACATGATTCTTGTATTAGCATTCTTTTATTCATAAATGTGAGTGTTTGTGCATTTTCTCTCATGTTTTTCCCCTGCCACCCATCCAGAACTTCACATATGTCAGCATTCAAGTATTAGATGTGAATGATAACCCTCCTCAGTTTACGAAAGCACAATACTCAGCCACTGTACGTGTGGCAACAGCAAAAGAAGGATTTTCTGTACTGTCTGTGTCTGCTACTGACCTTGATGTGGGGAACAACTCTGTTATTTCATACAGGTAAATTTCTGCGAGATTAGTAAGTATCTTCTGTTAATGAAACTGAAGACCATCTTGATTTCTCAGCTGGTGACAAGAAGAAAGATAGGACCTATTCATAGATATTTGACAAGTGCTGTAATCATTAATCATTTTGAAATGATTAGTTAGGAAAAAGGAGTGGTATTTTTAAACAGTGTTTTATAGCTTATCAAATAATGATTATTCCATTAAAAAAGCAAAAGGAACCAAATGCCAAGTGTTGTTTGTAATTCTGAAATTTTGTGTAGAATGTTGAATATTTCTGAGCAGGGAGTAAGATGATCTCAAAGAATGACTATTATTCTATTCACACATCATTTACTTGCTAGGAATGGGGCATCAAGAAATACTACTTTCATTAAGAGCTATGGAGAAAAGTTAATTGAAGAAGGTTTTGGATGAGACTTGTATCATGGAAAATACCATGGCATCCTGTGATTTAAAGTGTATAGATTGAGAAGGATAGATGAATGAATCAGAAAACTGTGAATATTTTTTAAAAAGTGTGTTGAAAGAGATTATTTTTAGCTGAGATGACATTCTAATTTAAACATATTATTTGTTCTTATGAGCAATACTGTTTCCTGCAGAAATTGTGCACAGAAATTGTGCAGAATTCTAGGAACCAGAACCAGAAGACATGAATACTGTCTTTTTGAAGGATGAAAGGCAGGCTTGGAAATGAAAAGGCAAATATGCTTAGGCTAATGATACAGCAATTAAAACACATTTATTAACAATTGTTTATAAATAGGCAAATACTGCTTGTTGGGTGCTTGTTACAGTAGTTTAACAGTAAGTAGAGAGTACTTCCTATGTTATTAATACAAATGTTATACTGATATCTCTCTAACACAGTTTTATGAACCATTCTGATGATTTCTATATAAATAACCATACTGGAGAAATCACTCTCAGCAATAACTTGGCCCATATTACAGCTGATACAATCATTACACTGACAGTTATTGCTGCTGACCATGGAGTTCCTCAGCTTACATCAAATGGTAAGAGATCTTCTCATCCTTTTTTCTTTCCACATAATATCCAAAAGCAGTGGCAACTTCCATAATTTTGTTACGTGTACAAATATTGAAATTTTAAATGAATCCCACCACAGTTAAGTCAAACAGAATTATGGATAAAATCCTTCTTACATTTCAGCAATGATGAGCATTAATTTGGTTGTGGCATTCAAGTGGCAAATGGCATTGATAGAATTTACGCGTAGGCAGTTTTATATACTTCCTTTCTCTTTTTTAACAAAACTATTCCACAAGTGGCAAATGGCATTGATAGAATTTGCATATAGGCAGTGTTATATATTTCCTTTCCCTTTTTTTACGAAACTACTCCGCTTAAGACTTCAATTCTGTGGATCCTAAGGATATGAACTGAGGAATGGAAAGCAATTGCATATTGTCTAGACTTCAAATTGCTGATCCTTGTTCACCTATTGTATCAGACCAACATTGATGTAGTCAGTGAAGTTGGCTTATTCTGTAATGTTAGCTACATATAAGTGTCTTGTGTTTTAGGTGTTACATCTTATTCCTTAATACTATTTTTTTTTCTTTTAGCTCCCCTTTACTACATGCCAATTCTTGTCTATTTCTATTAGTTCCTTAAAACTTAGAGAAATACAACACAGGTCATGATTATTTTAACAGTCATTTCACTGTTTTTAATTTGTTTTCTCTCACTAGCCTCTGTTACTATCTACTTGCTGGTAAACGACACCGACTTCGGACTGATTTTCGATAGCTCCAGCTATGAGTTCAGCATTCCAGAAGAGGAGCCAGTTAGCACTGCTGTTGGTGCTGTGAGGGCTCTGACTGGAAGCCTAGCCATAAACGTAGCGTATTCTCTGAAAACACATAGTGACAAGTTCTCTGTTAATGAACAAGGAGACATTGTGACTCTTGCCAGGTTAGATCGGGAAGAAGAAGACCTATACAGCATAATTGTGGAAGCAGTTGATTCTGTGGTGCCACCCAATACAGCTGTTGCTTTGGTACAGTATATTGCATTTTAAAATATATTTTTAAGGAGTGTAATATTAAAATATAAAATCATTGCGTCATATGCTATGCAAGCATGAGTGTTGGGAGCATTTTGAGAGCTCATTGTATTTAATTTCTATTTTTTTTTCCCCTAAGGGGACATTACCATCTTAAAACATTGTCAATGTGGAAAATTGTATCACATCCTGAAATAGCTAATCTGTGAACATCCCATAATCAGAGAAATTGATTAACACTGAAACTGTTTCTATTTTTAGTTGTCAAATGCATGAAGTAGATGAGCCAAAAAACCCCAAATTATTAATGCTGCTCATCTCTTCCAGTTACAATATAGTTTGGCTTACTTTTAATAGTAAATTATAAAAGAAACCTGGGACAGTTGTTTTGTATCCCCTTGGTTATTGTTTATTTTATTTGTCATTAGACTTCAATAGACCTAAATAACTGTTTTTATTGCTCAAATATATATCTCTTTTTTTTTTTTACATGCAGGTGACTGTAAGGCTGACTGACATCAATGACAATCCTCCAGTTTTCTCATCACTGATTCAGACAAAATTATCAGCTCCTGAGAACGCAGGCGTGCTCAACTTGGGCATATTTTCTGCTACTGATCTGGACATAGGAGTTAATGCACTTATAAGCTATTCTTTACAAGATGATTTTGCCGGAATATTCCATATTAATAGTTCCACTGGCGATCTGATGACAAAGCAGTCCTTTGACAGAGAAGTGATGGACAGTTATGAACTGAAAATAATAGTAAGTTGACAAATTCAATGCAAGTTTGCAAAATTCTCAACTGAAAAAGTGAGAGAGATAGAGAGAGGATATAGAACCATCACAAGAAAATTCATCTTAGTGAATTACATTAGAATTCATTCATGTTTTGACTGTTTTTTATGTCTTAAGTGTTTTGTACCCAGAACTCTTTTTTTCCTCTGTATAAAATTCTTTTAGTCAACAAATGATCCATGAATGCCAGATCTAATACATCTAACACATCACAGGACATCTTGCTGTGAAATCTGCAAAGAATTCCTGAGTCTATTTTAGAATGTGAAGCTGCCATTCTGCCATTTCTTTTATTGCTTTGTCAGTCCAAATCATTTGTCCCTTACACTTATTTTTTTCATTTTTCAAAAGGTATGTATTTAGACTACCTAAAAATATATTAAATGAATTTGGATTTCCCTTTTCAAAATGTAAAAGCATACACTATCATCCCACTACTCTTTTATAAACATCTATTTATTCCAGTCGATTCCATTAATTCTGTTGCAATTAATCAGTTAAACTGATGTTTGAACCTACAGATAACTGTTCCAGCACTGACCATTATGTACAAACATACTTCAGGGAGATCTTTATTGCTGACTTAAACTGCTTAACTGAATTATTTAACACAGCAAGGAACTCACAGGAATTATTCAGAACTAACAGGTTACGTATTAGAAATTGAACAGTGTCTTCTGAAAATTTTATAATTAATAAAAATAAGCACTTCTGAAGAATAATTAAAAGTTGTATATGTGGCCTTATAGGTTAGGAGTTTTCCATGGTGGATGTTAGTGCAATGTAATGTACGCTGTGAGATTACCACATACTAGCTACCCTATATAGCTTGACTTGCAGAAATTTCCAGCCTTCAAAATGCAAGGGATTTACTTACTCTTTTAAGGGCCACATCACAGACAGGCATCTTCATATCACGGGTCTATGCTGATTATTGCCATGTCTGATCACATGATATATGTGATCTGGATCAGGCTTGCACATTTCATTAATTGATCATGAAATGAGCCAGAGCATATGATATGGGGATGACACATGTAACACCAAATCAGGCATAGAGTTACAGCAGTATACCTGGGTGATAACTGGTCCAGCAGGAAGTCTCCTGAGACAAAGTTTCCTCTCAGAATTTTTGAAACAGACTTGAACTGGGAAAGTGAGTTTGTGAGTGGAGTGATGTATTTAATGGCAAGTTTATTTATTTATTTATTTTCTTCACAGGCCACTGATTCTGGCAAGCCATCACAATCTGCAAGCTTAATTCTAAACATCACTGTAGAAGATGTGAATGACAACCCACCAGTGTTCCCTCAGAAATCATACGCTGTGGTTGTAAAAGAGAATGAGCCTCCACATGTGGTATGTGGCATTAAGAATAAGTAGTCTGTTCTTCTGTAATCATTCTTCCTATATAAGCAGTACTAATCCATGATGACTGTGCAGTGGAGTATATAGTTTCCAACTCTGTGGGATCACACAGTGTGTTAGTTTAATAGGACAGTGTGGTGTCCATCACATTGACTGTTCCTCAAACTTTCTTCAAGTTCATCTCCCTCCCACTTCAGGCCTTAGCAATGATGCCAAACCATACATATCTGTTTTTCAGAGAACTTACAGACAGCATGTTGTAATTCTGCTTGATCCAGGACTTCCACATTCCTAACATGTTCTGTCCTGTCCTTCCCTCAGAACATTCATTTCTGGCCTTGCAGATGTGAGCTAGTGCTTCATGGGGATCACAGAAAGAGGTGTGATCTAAGATATCTCCATTACCTGCATTGCTCGATGCTGTGTCAGTGTTTTAGTAATGCCATTAATGGCCATATGAGTAATTCAGGCAGTGAATACTATATAGATAAAGACCAGCTTTGTATGTATTTTGCTACTCTCTTGGTTCTGTGCTAAATCTTTTTTCCCTCTCATATAGATTCTGAGTGCAACAGCCACAGATGAAGACATAGGGTACAATGCTATTATTTATTACACTATAATTGGAGAGACATCTTCATTTTATGTTGGAGAACTTTCTGGAAATGTTACAACTTTACAACCTCTGGACTATGAAACTCGTGCCCATTATACATTTATTCTGAAAGCTTTCAATCCTGCAGAGCCATATTTACAGGATACAGCAAACATTACAGGTAGCTCTAGTTTACTTGCTTTCTCTTAGGGAATATTTCAGCAAGCACTTTGAGTGGGCAAGAGTTAAAATATCATATCATCAGTTGTAATAATTTACTGTGGCAGAATATGTTACTACTGAAGGTTATCTTTGTGCCTTAGAACTACACATGCTGAAATATATTTTTTAATGTTTTATATGTATGTGTGGGCATATATATATATAT